TGTGTCTACTGGTGTGCGTTCAGGTTTATTTAAACACTTTGACATTATGATGAACATATTTGATCAGAAAACCCATTTTCACTTGTAATTTTTCCATATATGTACTCTTCATGAAATTTATTATTGTTTTACTTTGGCTTCTAGCTTGAAAAAAATTGAACACTGAAAGTGTCTGTCAAGGTTTGCAGTTTTCCTGCTAAACACAGTAAAAAATGGCTCCAAGAGGATAAAACAAATGTCACTTTCATAAGAGCAAAGGAATATTTGACTTTCAAATAAAAATGTAGCTTAATTCATGTTGTGGAGAAATGTGAAAGTTAAGTGTTAGAGAAAACTGTAAGGTGAAAGCGAAATATAAATCGGTTAAAACTGTAGTGAGAATCTCACCACAGGCTGAAGATTTGATGTGGAATTTCAGTAAAAACAAATACTCTAAGTTAATTGCAGTCATCTAAAGGGTGTGGGAAGCTTGTCACAAATCTATATCTATCTATCTATCTATCTGTCTGTCTATCTATCTATCTGTTTTTGCTTTTTACATTTTTTGGAGATGTCTCATATGAGAAACTATATAACATTTAAATGAATTTGTTTCACTTAACATTGTGATATCAAAGCCATTCACTTTCCTATAAATACCTCAAAATGATCTTTCCTTCTGATAGAGCAGTACTCCAGGGTGTGTCAATGCCGTGTCTACCTTATTCCTTTATCTGCAGATGGACATGAAGCCCCTTCTGAGATTTAACTGTTGTGAAGTCTGCTGCTATGAACATCGTTATGCGTATGTATGATGTCTTTAATTCTTTTAAGGAGAGACCGGGAAGGAAAATAGCTGGGCCAAATGGAATTTCTAGTTTAGCTTTTGAGGCATCTCCACAGTGATGTACCTAGTGGTTGCACCAGTTTACACGGCATCGATAGTGTAGAAAGGGTTCCTTCCTTTCTCCCTCCTGCAGCCTTGCCAGCTTGTTCCTGATCTCTTGATCATAGCCATTCTTTCTGGATTAAGAAGGCAGAAATTCCTCTTAAAGAGAAACACACATTTACTTTCTTTCAGTTGACTTTAGCTCTTCACATGTGTGTGCCTACATGTATACATTCATATGTATACTTAGTCCTATGTGTGTGCATCCATACGGGCATGCGTGATTTTCCTTTAGCTTTGGTTCCTGCATTTTAGCGGTTCTGTCTAATGAAAATCACATGTCTAAAATTTCACTGATATCAATTATTGTAGGCCTAAATACTGCCATTATTTTGTGACTGTTTTTCTTGGAGTAATCTTGTATCTGGAGTTACATTACAGTTCCATACCACAACCCCCAAATGTGGCAAAGCAAGCAATAAAAGAGGGTACACACAGAAAAAGACAGATGTGGGGCGAGGAGAGAAAGACAGACAGACAGACAGACAGAAGGAAACTTTGAGAATATTTCTACTAGAAATGTGCAGTCAAAATCACCTCACAGACACATATTCTGTCCTGAAATGTTTAAATAATTGATCACATTTAGTTTCATTAAGCCTTTTGATTGAGTCTGCACTTGTAAGTGCTGGAAAGTTTTTCTTTTATGGAAAATGAACACAAAAACAAGTTGTGAATATTGTCAAGAATTAGCAGAAGATGGCTCATTCAAATTCAGAGAAATTGTTGCCAAATTACACTATGCTCTTCTTTTCATATATACAAAGGGTACAGAAAATTGTAGATAAGATATCTAATGGCAGTGACAACAGAAACAAAGCACCATAATTATTTTATAACCATCAAATATATTTTTATTTGATGAGCCTATTTTTTCAAGTTTTTTTAAAATTTATTTTGAAATTCCCTTCTGTGTGAGAATGGAGAGGTTCATTGCCCTGTACCTCCTTGTTCTACATAAATGATTTCCTTATGGTAATATAATCTGCTGCATTTTATTTGCAGTTCATTGGTATCAGTTGTCTCTTTCAAAAATGAATAGTTATCTTTTTCACTGGACCTAATTACTTGTAATTCTAGAAACACACTAGATAAAGTTATCAGTTCAATGCTATCGGCATCGCTGTATTAAGCGACAATACAGTAGTAGAGTACACCTTTGTTGTGAGCTGGGGCCTTGAGGACTATGTCTGCTCCCTCACCCCGTCGTCTCTGCTGCTGTCTGCTGCTCCCCTTCACCACCACCATGAAACAAGCAGCTTTGCTCCGCTGTGCCCTTCTGTCATGACGGCTCTGCCTTGGGGACAGCCCATCTTGGACTGAACAAATTAAACCTCTCAGTGTTGTGTGAGAGTGAGGAGAAATCTATCACAAAAGTTCATTTATAATAAAGAATCTTAACTTCTGAAAGTTTTTGCATCGTACAGATAGCACGTGAACATAAGTCTGTCTTACTTTCTTTCAGTAAGTAGCATGGTATGTCAATCTTCTCTCACAGTTGTTTAAATGGACTAATAGGAGCAATTTCTCAGGCTTATTTTGGCAGTAATAAAATCATATATTGTAATAATTGTGGCTTCTAAGTACATGAGCTTTTTTAGCTACAGTCTACTTTGTTTGAGCTTTTGAAAGTAGTGTCAGTTCCTTGGCCTGAATATTCATTGAAGGAAGGTTTCATAAATCTAGAATGTACACCACAATCCTAAAGCAATCCCTAAAACAAAACATCAGAGCTAAATAAGTCTACAAAGGAGATCAAATGGAATCTTTAAACATTCAGCCAATCCAAATGAAGGCAAAAAGATGTAACCAATTGGAAATATAGAGCAAAATGATAAAGTTAAACTGTTAGTTGTTAAATCAAATGTAAGTTGTTGAAATACTTCAGTTAAAAAGGTAAATGGGTGTACTCAAAACCATATCCTAAGTGAATTCAGATGTTTTGTTTATGTGGACAAAATCTCCATTATGATGTGCTCATTATATGCTGCAAACATATATTAATAAAACAGACAGACAGAAGTAGAGGCCCATCTGCACATTATGTAGAAACGAATTTCAAAGGCAGAATACAGGTCAGTAAAACGATTGGAAAACATACATAAAGGAAACAAAACAAAACTCGAATAACTCATTAATACCAAAATAAATTTCAGAGCAAAACACGTCACAGGATAAAAGAAGTAAAATAACATTAAAATCTTATTTTCAGTTTGTTTGTTTGAGGCACTAAGAATTGTACTCAGGGACCTTGTTCACCCCTAGCTATATCCCTAGGCTTTTATTTTATTTTTTTAATTTTTCACTTTGACACACAATCTTGATAAATCTTTTCAAAATATCCAAAGCAAACAAGGATATAATAGCAAGAGAAATAGACAAATCTATCATTATGACTGTGAATTTTCACTTTCCACTCTAGGTAAGTGATAGGCCAAGTAGTTTAGAAAATCAGTAAAGTTTTAGAATACTTGAACATCACATTCAACCAAGAGGACACATTTGAAAGAAAGATCAATGTATTTTTCAGACTAGCATAATGAAATAAAATTCATTTATAAGCAAATTTTTATTTTATTAAATTTTATTCTCTTCTATATTATTAAGGCACATCTTTAATATAAATGGAAATCAAGAAGTATTTTCATGACTGAACTCTCTAATCTTAATTTTCTTTGCATTTCTTCTCTGAGTAGCCTGTATTTCACTATTATAAATGTGTTTCCTAGCAAATATTCTACATGGGTAACAGACACAATTACTTATCTGTCTTAGGATTAATTTCAAGATGGTATTACAAAAGAAGTTTAAAATTGTCTCCTTATGAAACATATACTCTGTATATTTGAGTACTTACACCAACAGGTAAAGGAGAAGAACTGAAATTTGTTTATGCTTCATAAAATAATTATTTACAAAAACTCATTATTCATTCAATCTAAGATGCCATTGATCATCAACCATGCATTATTTTAAATTCTTAAACGAAAGTATCAATATGGAGATTTCTTTAAAAAAGATTAGAGGCCCCATTCAACCCAGCTATTCCCCTTCTGGATATTTTCCCAGAAGAATTAAAAACATTGTACCACAGCAACACCTGCACACCCATGTTTATGTCAACACAATTTGTAATAGCAAATCTTGGAAATAATTTAAATGTCTATCAACTGAGGAATGGATAAAAAGAATAAACTCAGCCACAAAGAAGCAGAAATGTGAGATTTTTATAGGTAAATGAATGCAACGCGAGACCATAGTCCTAAGTGAAATAGAACAAACCCACATGTGTAAGCCTTACATTGTGTCTCTGGTGTGAGAAACTGGACAAATAAATAATGTCTAAAATGTACAACAGATACTGTGAATGGGGAAGAAACTGTTCAAAAGAAAAGATGTAATGGGAAAAAGGGAAAGGAAGGAAGGGAAAAGGAAAAAAATATACATATACACACACAGGATAGTTAAGCCAGCAGTACAGTTAGTTTCTCTTAGTTGATTGTGCTATTTTTTGGACAATATTTCATGCCTACATCTTGTACTCTGAACAACTACTACAAAAATAACAATATGCAATGTGTTAATTATTATTACTTCCTGCTAGCCTGTTCTGAAACTCCATTTTATTGTTACTTTTACTTTTTTTTCTGTTTAAAGCAAAACTTTAAAAAATTAAAAAAAACAGAAATTTTTTTCTGTTTAAACAAAACTTTAAAAATAACATTGAAGATTGAAGAATATTCATTTCTAAGTCTTTAAAAAATAAATGGTGCTTATGTCTTGAGTTGTTAAATGGATGTTAAAATGTGAATGTTAAAATGTTAATACATATAGCTAAGTCTAAACCTAGAAGTGCATCCCTTGTAAAGAGAATTTTGTGTGAAATGAATTCAGCCTTTGTTGATTCACTGAAATAGCAGGACAGGTCTAGTGTTTCTGGAAAAATTCATAAATTTGCTGAACACTTGAAGAGTGTTATTCTCAACATTTCTATTGGTTATTAATGCAAAAACAGTGAGGATATAAAAGGGCTGGTAAGAAAAAAATCATCATTAATTTAGAAAGGACTCACCTTGTCTTTCCTTTGCTTTTCATCCTGGTACACGGTCCAGTGCTCCCCATCGTCGCTGTAGGCTAGTTTGTAGGACCCGACAAACTGGACATGACCAAAATCTTTAGCTCCTTGTGTGATTATACCGGTCACTTTGGTAGGGCCAAGAAGATCCACCTAAAAGGAGGAATCCGCACAATGTAAATGCAACAATCAAATCTATTGTAAATTTATACCTCTCTTGAACTGGATAGATTAAAAATCAAATACGCTAAGTGCAAACTCTTCCTGGTTATTTCCACAAGTGTTTTGAACCAAGGACCGCATGTGTTTTTGGTACATAACTGATTTTGCCATGGGGTAAATACAGTCTAAAATCCCTTTAGCAGCTATTTGGACCATTTATAAAGTAAAATGATGCTCACGTCAGTTCAGCAACCCATTTTATATTAAACTGACTCCTCTAACTGAGTCGCTTTGGTGTGACTAAGGTAGATCAGGACTGGCAGGATGGACTTAGAGATTGATTATGATCTCCCAGAATTTATGCTTCTAATCCAATTTACTCACCTTGCCGATCAATTGATTCAATAACAATGAAAATAAAAACGTCTCTATGAATTTTAATCAATTCAACAATACACAATTGAGCAATGGTAATGACTGGCAAAGAAAATCCCTTTCCAGAAAGTTACACTCCTTAAAAACCTTGAGGAAAAAATTAAATGTTCTTCAAAGATGAAAGAGGATTAAAAGTACTCATTCATGACCTGTAATATCTGAGCTCAGAATACATGCTTTCTTGCAAAATATGGAGTTTAAAGCCGCAAGACCAGTGAAAATCTAGGAACCATTAAAGTCATCAAAAAATTATTAATGTACATAAGGTAAGAAGAACATATATCTATAATAGATCAATAATTTACCCTGATTTTTCTAATTCACAATTGCATCTTAACTCTGGGAATTCTGATTTAGGAAATAAACCTAAGACTTTTGTTTTCTCCTGGACACCTCCTGTAAGAACTTTCCATTTGTGTTCCATGATCTATAGATTCCGCTTTCCTTCTACAATAACCCCCAACTTCCACCCATTTCCTGTGACTAACAGGCACGCCACGTCCTCAGTCTTATCATCTGTCCCATCAAGATCCCGTGTGTGATCTGGTGCTCTGAACACTATGTCCTTTTGTTTTTATTTCAGGGCCCTGTCCTGTGAGAAGGGAGACACAAACAGATGTCATGGGCCAGAAACAGGCTGTGAGTGAGAACAGAGCTCAGGACAACAAACAGAAAGGCCATATTTAGTCACACAGCTAACAATCAATAAGGATGTGGAGAAAAGTTCCCGATGTGTCAGAGCCTGTGAACCTATATTTTTTAATTCACATGGTTTCTTGTTCACATTTTGGAACATGTATTACAGACATTAAGCTCAATTTGGAAAATGGACTAGGATAGAGTATTACCTTTAATGCTTTATTAAAATATTTTGGATAACATGTTATTCTGAGGTTCTAAAGATGTATGGCATCATCTAAAATACCTTGTGTGTTGAACAACAGAAGATCACAGAACTATATTCCAAGCAAGAAATAGTGGATTACATTGTCCTCTGTCTCTCTGTCTCTCTGTCTATCTCTCTGTCTCTGTGTCTGTCTGTCTGTCTGTCTGTCTGTCTGTCTCTCTCTCTCTCTCTGTGTGTGTGTGTGTGTGTGTGTGTGTGAGAGAGAGAGAGAGAGAGAGAGAGAGAGAGAGAGAGAGAGAGAATCTCTTCTTTAATCTTTCAATGACCACCAAAAGTAAGATATTATATCAACACTACACATAAGGCAATGGCAATAGCAACCTAAATAAGTAACAGCCAAAGATGCAGTACGGAGATAAACAGTGAATAAAAGAGAGGCGTATTTTAACCTCTGTGTCATTCAAAGACCCCATGAATTGCATTTTCATTCAATGGTTTTTTAACTTGAGTTCCTCGCTTCTGATTCTATCAGAACTTTTGAAGAGTCATTGTGCTCATTGAATTGACAGCAAGTCTAAGACAAACAAAGGCAACACTGGATTTACAACACTAGGAGAGCCCTGTGTTTTATCATGAATTTCCTTTTTGTTCTTCATCTGTCTGGGCTTAAATATATGGATCTCTTTTGTTGTCCTAAATCCAAATATAATTGCTCAGAGATAACAGGGCAAAACTGCTGTTCTTCAAAGTCTTCTTCGTATTGCTGAAGTTCAAAAGGTGTTACAAAACAAAACAGAGATAAATCAATGGTACGGAACACTGAATCATGGTGACACTGAAATGGACTACAAACACACAGGAATCCAGCCGCCTCCAGGACAGGAATGCTACTGGAGCTCATTTCTTCAGTACTGAGCCCTGGAAGCCCTCAACCCAAATGATTCATCCAGGACTCGTGGATCAACCCTTCTGTGCAGGTCTTACGGGTCAGCTGTGTATCCTGGCAGGTGGGGATGTCTTGGCCTGAATTGTACATCTTGGCTCTTTCCAATAGGAACTTTCCCACTCTACCTGCTCCCCATTTCTAGTCATTTTTTAAAAATCTAGAACTGTTTTTCATGTTTGATCCAGGGTAAACAGCCTCTTTACTTAAATAGACAGCAATCTGGTTTGAGCCAGAACTTGTCCTACAATTTGCTGCATTCAACTTAGAATACCAGGTCTAAACAAAGCTTCTTTCTATATAAAAATAATAAGCATCTCGTGTGTGACATGAGGTTGCTCAAACAGGGCTGCACAGAGCTCATTCTGGGAAAAACCAGGAGCATAGGACCTGGAGTTCAGCATGCATGGTGGTTGTAGGGAAGCCTGAGACCTGACGCTTCCCCTGCACACAGACACCATGGCTTCTTACAGAAATTCCTGGCTAGGCTTGAACTATAAATATTCTAACCAGATATCTTCTGCTACTTTAGTTCCTCACTTCCCAAAGCTGAGCTCCAATAGAACAGGTGCTGAGAGTACTGAGCTGGCTCTGAGACAGAAGTCTGGCTTAGTGTCTTGCACTTCTTGTGTTAAGCTGCATGAAACATAGCTCACAGGTAACAACGCCTCCAGTGAACTTCACTGCATGAACAAGAACTGCTTCCTCGGTAAGTTCTATGGACATGAACCAAACCAAGGAGAAGGATGTTATGATAAATCGTCAAAGAAAATCCTAACTGCTTCTCTTCAGTTTTATATGCAAGAGAACATCACTGGTACAGGAAACAGTACTGCAGTTGCATTAACAAATTTATACTGTCAAAGGCACCTGGCTACATTTTCTCTCCTATTTTTAGGAATCAGACTGCAGGGGTCAGCCTACTCCAATGGACTGTCTGATTCAGGCACCTGAGCTGGGTCTAAATCCTTGGACAAGCTATTGATCTTTTCTCTGTGTCTCAATTTCCTCTTCTGAATAATGAGAATAATTATCTTTGTAGCACTGTATTATTGGAAAATGAAATTGTTTATTAAAAGTGTACAAAAGTGTATTGAATACTAAGTATCATTCAAGACCTTGGTAACAAAAAAATAAATAACACTGAGAAAGGCCTTAGATTCTGAGAGAACCTTGTTAGAAGAATCCAGGAAGAGAGGAAAATCTGGCTAAGTACTCTTCCAAGGAAACTTCTCAATTTTACCACACCTTGATCTTTTTCTCAGGATGTATATAAAGATACTCATCTCATTTTTTACTCAAATTAGAGAAAATATACAATTGAAATGCCCTTTTAAGTGAAATGGTTAATGAAAATAATATGAACAAATCATTATATTTTGCATTGTTATCTAAATATTGATCTGTATGGTACATTGTTCCAAAACAATAGTAAAGGAAAAAGTAAATTGCAGATTATACTGAGTGATTTATTTTACCCTAATAAGAATGCAAACAAGAGAGGAGGAATATTTACAGAGTGAGGCAGAAATGAGACAAAAATATTGCGCCAAGGTTACTTACGAATATAATTTTTGGTTGTAAAACCATCTAAAGTTGTGTTAGCAATGTATAAATATTTTTAGAGCATGTCAAGTGCAGGATAATGGTGTAGAACATCTGTAGCATCTGCTTGGGAAAGGTCAAGAGAAACTGCATTGCAAACATCTGCCTAGCACTCACAGTGCCTCCCTGGGAAGGGATAGGGCTGGGAAAGCGGCTATACTTTCATAGAAAAATTCTCGAAGTGGAGGGGAGAAGATGAAAGTGATTCTGATAGAGAGTTTTGCAAGAAAAAAAGGGCAAAGCCAAAGAAATTTATCACTGTCACAGAAATGTGGTATTATTTTATTATTTATTGTAGCATACAATAATAAAATATAGTCACATGTTTTATTATTTAGTTTATGGAGATTATCATTCAAATTATGTATTTTGTAACTTTCTGAAGTTTTGTAAAATCGACTCATTAAACAGGGCTAAAATCAAAGCTAACATAATTCGTACTGTGGTCATCTTTGGTATCTCAAACCCCTCTGTAGATGCTAAAATCTTTAGATGTCAAAATCCCCTAATAAAATAACATTTGCATATAACCTGTGTACCTATCCTCCCATACATTTTAAACCACCTGTAGAATACTTATAGCTATGCAAATTAAGTGCTATGTAAATCAGAGTTCTACACTATCACATAGAGAAGAATGATAAAAAGCTTGTATTGTTAGAGCTAAAAATTTTCCCTAAACATTATCAACCCACATTATTTAGGATCCATGAACGCACCACTCACAGACCCAGACAGGTAACAGTATTTAGAAACCGATTTATAGGAAAAATATGTAGGGGATATTTTGTTTTCAACATTTTCTAAACTTAACATTACAAGAAACCACTGCATATAACTACATTTAAGAGACAGCAATAACCGTGCTTGGCTTTTGAACAACATTGTTGGTCATCACACGTTTAGTCCAGTTGGAGCCTACGCTTGCAGACCAAGTGCAAATGTGAAAAACTAATAAAGAAATATTATTCCACCTCTGCATCCGACTTGATTTACTGGTTCAGAGGCTTGCATGCCTCACAATACTGTAGTGGCCTAAGCACTCACACTTATTTTTCTATTACTGAACTAATTTTTAACTTCCAGCTAGGCAATTAATTTTCCCTATCATAGTTTTAAAAATGAAAATAAAACCAAGCTAAATCATATGATAATAACTCT